CCCGGCGACGTTAAATGTTCAACAGATACAACGAGTTTAGTACCGCGGCGGGCCCCGGGATGGGGGGGATGTGCTCCCCACGGGGGTTCTCCTGGGTAAAGCTCAGGGCTGGTCCTGCTTGGAGCAGGAATTGTCCCCAGACTGTCCCTGCCAGCCTGACGCACCCACGGATTCCCTGGAAAGCCGCGGGAGAAGTTAAACTTGTGCCACGAACCTTGTTGCTATAGAGAGGAAGCTGGGTGACAGCGCTGGAGTTTCGCTTGTGACTCAAAAGTTCTGTGTGAGTTCTCAGTGGGTGCTGTAACCGATGGGCACGTTTGGGCCCGAGGAGGGTTTAACCCTGTGAAGAGAATTAAAACACCCAGCGGTGTCTGGAGTTGTTCATAACCAGGAGCCGGGGATTCCTGTTCCTTCAGAAAACTGTCGCTTCCTCTTCCTGATGGAGGGAAGTACTGCTATGTACTCTTAATTTTCATAAATCTGACATGATATACAGGTGTATTTTCTCTTAAACATGTACTATTTGTGAACAGATGCAGTATTATTAATTTAGACTGTTTCATGAACCTTGGCAAGCTGACAAAATAATCAATGAGCTATAAAGAGTAATCTAAATTCTAGTCTAGCAGAAGCATTGTCCAAAATCCTGCTCTACTGCATTACAAATAATGCTTTACTTGTGACCCTCGTTCTTACACATCAAATTGTGAAGGAGGGTACCATAAGGTTAATTAACTAAGCCTGATGTACCACCACTTCTTCACTCCCCAGTAGACCTTAGTCCTTTGGGGAGCCCTCCTCCCTCGCTCTCATTCCTTCAAGTACCATCAGGCAAGAAGCTGCTTGTGCTGTTGCTGATTCCCAGTTCTGTGTGTGCTACTGGTTTAGCCAACCAGTACACACGTACCTGCTGGACAGGCAAGTCTGTGTGGTGCTGGGTTTCCTTCAGTGTGAGCAGTAATTTGGATGCATCTCTTCAGCCTGCAAAACTCTATAAACCTCGAACTTCAGCATTTCTGGCAAGTTTTACAGAATTTATCAATGATGGCAGAAGTTAGGGAGGATATGGAGTTTGGAAGGGGATGTACAGCTACCCTGGCACCATTCAAACCTTGTTTCCTTATGAAAATGGTTAAAAATTGCAGTTAGAACTTGAAGGTTTGTTTGATTAAGGCCATCATGTAATTGTACAAAATTATTTCTATTGTTTAAACCAACTTTCATCATCAACATGTAAGGAATTACAATCTCAGTCCTTCCCTCATCCCATACTTGTCAGAGGAAGCCAGGACACACCAACTTTTGTTGTTTGGTTTCATGCATTTGATGTGTCTGAGCCTGCACATTGCCTTAAATCTAAAGGAAGAGGATATTCAGAAATTGGCACCTTTTCCTATTAGTGGTCATTTTTATTATTTCTGTATCAGGTGCCCCTCATCCATCAACAATGAAGTGATTTCAGTCTCTGCACAGAGCACGCTGTCAAGAAGAAGTAAAAGCTTTAAAATAACTGTAAGTAATTTTAACGAGACTGACAAAAACCTTTTTGCCAGAATGAGATTAGTGCTGCTGGTGGAATTCTGCAAGATTTGCAGTTGAATTATACCATTGCCTCAACCGAAGCATCAAACTCAAAGGTGATGACTTTAACCTTGCATCTCTAGGCCTTTCCATGTTTAGGTTATGGTTTTTTTCTGAAGATGAAAGAAATGCTTTTAAGCATTTGTTTAACTTCAAAAAAGACAGTTAAGCACATATGTAAGAGTTTACAGGTTTGGGTTCTAAGATGGAAGGACCTGATGGTTTCCTGTTGATTTTTCTTAACTAAACTGTTAAATTAATGCTCTTCTTCTCCCCTCTCCCCTTCACATTTCTCTTCATAATCAGATTGTGCTGGTTATTGGAACCTTTGATTTGCTCACTTGCTCTAAGACTTTGGACTCCAGTGGCTCTTACAGACACCTGCTATCAATCCAACTGTATTTAGTCTTTAATAACCATGTTAAAAGCAGAAAATACCAGAGCAGAGAAATGATTTGTGTTAATCCTTGCTTTCCAGCAAAACAGTGTGCAGTGCAAAATGGCAGATGGTGCTGAAAGCAAGTGCAGACTTTAACCGGGACTGGCCACTGTCGCTCCTCTGGCACAGAGGGAAATGTTATTATTTCCAGTTTCCTTATCCACAGGTTTCCTTTCATTGTATTGCCCTTTCCCGTTTGTGGCAGAAGAGCCATGAAGAACCGTTCCTCATCTCCCCCTTTGCACGTCCATGTGGATGAAAACACCCCTGTCCATGTCCATATTAAAAAGGGTCAGAAAACCACACCTGCAAAATGCCAGGTAGGAGTGTGTAGCTGGGTGTTTGTAAGGGCTACAAAGAGGAAGGTGAATGGTCCTAGAAACACCACAAAATCTTCAAGGTTTGTTTTTCTGTTGTATTGGAACTGTAAGACTTGAATTCGTGTTCAGTGGTGAATTTTCACTAACGAGTTTTCTATATTTAAGGTGATTTAAGTATGATATAGAATACAGAGTTACTTTTCATGTTCAAGTGTGTGATTGTGGGCAGTGTTGCTTCCAATATCGTGTGATTTGGGGGGAATTCTTTTGTTTTTCCTTCTATATCCTGGATTTTTGTCCTGATAGTTGTTCTTTGGCTTCATCCTTATTTTTGTAGGAAAGGTATTATCTAGGCATTTCAAATTCCATCTTGATTGTATTAAAATAAATGTGTTTAGAGAAAAAGAGCCTGGTTTCAAACCATCTTCTGGCATTAAACACCTTCTCACTCTGCTGAGCTGTGCAGCAAAGAGGATCTCTTCATAGCCTTACCCACAGCAGGTAGAAGGCAATACTGAAGTTGACTTTCTAGCTATCTCATGTCCTCTTTTGTAGCTGGATGTTTATGTAAAGTTCTCAAAAGGTGATGGAAGTTGCTAGCTCATTCTTCCTTATGTGCACACATCCTCTTCTAAGTCCTCTATTAGTTTTGTGTTTGTTGCTAGTGGCAAATATTATAACGGTGTAGGGCCTGACAGTGAAATCAATGACTTCTATTAACTAATTGCCTGTAGGGAATATTTAGAATATCTGACTTTTCTCTAAGGTTAGAATTGTGCAAAACCAATTTAATTTTCCTTCAGTTAGAGCACCTCGAGTTCAATAAATGTGGATCTATTAGTTGACTGCAGATCAGGGAAAACACTTTAGGGGCTTTTCATAACCACACCGCACTCTTCTTTTTTTCTCTGGTAGTGCTGTTGTCAAATGATTAATCTCTTTTGTGAGATGAATCTGGAATGGAGAAGAGATCTCACAGATCATTCCCTCTTCACTTGAATGGGTTATATTGTGATCTTTTTTTGTGTATATCCATAGAGAGGAGACTTCCTGCCCCTGTGTCCCAATCTCCCACCCCTGGCCTGCTGGGTAAGGCTGTCATTGCATCACAAGCGTAGGTATCCCAGAGATATGACAGAGCTGCTACCTGATAAGAAGAATTTTCTACATCTAGCCATACTGTCAACTGAGTGTGCAATAACCTTTCCTCCTGGCTGGGGGTAGCCTCCTCCAATGGCTACTGGCTCATCTGATCTGATGTATCATGTGAAACACTACGTGATAACTTTGTATGAATGAACTTTCGTTGGTCTTGCAGCGCTGAAAATGGTAAATGATTCTTTAAAAGTCAGTGATTTATTCTATTTTCTTTTTTCTTTAGCAAAAACACAAACAGAAAATGAAAGGGGATACCACAAACACGTACCGATCTGTCCGGGTGAAAACTAAGGCCCCCTGGATGCCCCCAGGCAAAACATCTATCCGGGATTCCACCTCCAAATGGGAGGTATGGCTGATTTTGCTCTTCAGAACAAAGTTTCAGGTTTATCTGAGTTTGAAGAGAGTAGTAGTGTAGTGAGGGAGCTGGGCTGGTCTGAAAAAAGGCTACTGTCACCTATCATCCATTTTAAGTGTCTTCTACAAATATTTTTCACTTTTTAATAAAAAAAATAGGAAATTAATTAGCAGCCTATCATCATATCATGCCTTTCTGCCTCTAGAAGCCAGACAAATGTCTTTGTTTATTGTAGTTTTACTAGTTCCCTTCAAGATCTCACCTGGAGGCACAGCAAGGGGCTGCTGTTAGTCTCTTCAGAAGCATGGAACATTTGTGTAGTTTTCTGTAATATTTTCTTTCTCATGGGTTGATAGTTTTGCCTTTTGTATTCCTAGATGAGAATTTGAACTTCCATTATTTTTATTTCTTTTTCTGTTCTACTCTGTCTGCATTCTTTACCTTTCCCTGATGGAAACGAAACTAGCCTTATTGCAGTGATGTGACTTGGTCTCTGTTTTTGACAGAGTTAGAGTTAGAATACTGTTTATAACTTTATACTAAAAAAAAATTATGCCCTTTTATTGCTTTTTCTACCAGGGACCAACTCACCGCCTAGAAATGACACCTCCAGATTCAGAGAAGGTGCTGTCAGTGTTGCGCCTGAGTGACCTCTCCACAGATGAGGAGGATGCTGTTTACTGCAAAATGAACCAATATGAGAAGAAGATTGATAGCCTGATGAATGTAGTGGGAACACTGAAGAATGAGGTGAAGAGACAGTGTAAAGACCTAGTGACTTAGGCTTTGTAGCTGGTGGTTTGGTAAGAGGACACTGGAGTCAAGTCTTGGTGCAATGGAAGACTACCCAGGCTGTTGGTAGATTGCTTAAAAAAATAAATCAATCAGAGTTGTTTAGAAGAACTGAACTATCCTAGTGAGATCTATCCTAGTGAGATCTTAAGCTCTACCCAGGCTGTTGGTAGATTGCTTAAAAAAAATAAATCAGAGTTGTTTAGAAGAGCTGAACTATCCTAGTGAGATCTTAAGCTGTACTATGACACATTTTAAAACTTTACACAATTAATAAGGTATTACTGTGCTTCAGTTTTCAACCCCCCCTCTGTATTCTTTCTTCTTTCATATCCTAACTGTTTATAGCGCTGGTAACTGCCGAATGGGTTGCATGTGCCATTCATGAGGAGCAGTAGTCAACTGCTGAGCCCTATTCAGCTCTTAAGTAGCCTGTACACAACTCCAGTCACACCAGCAGTGACACTGAGCTGCCCCAGAACCTCCTGAATAATCCAAAGTGGGTAGATGGAAACAAAATGCCAGGGGCTGTTTAGGTTGATTTCACCCAGTTTCCTGGATCTCACAAAGCAATAGCAGAGCAATGGGAGCCATCTCCAGCACATGAACTGCTGCCAGAGCTCCTTTCCTGTCATGTTTGAGATCTGTCACATGGCTGATGACAATTTTTGGTATGTGACTTAGAGCCAGGATGATTGTGTCTCCCTGTGTTTGTGGGATGGGAGGTATTTCCAGGCAGTAAGTGAATTATGCCCTTTGTGCACAGGAACAGTCTGAAAGTATCTAGGCAAAAAACCCCCCAAAATCAAACAAAACCCCATAGTCCTTTGTTGTTTGGTGCAATAGCTCGTTCACTCGTTTGAGATGTGGATTCTGTGTATGACTTCAAAAGCCCCTGATTTGTCTTAAGTTCTATTTAAATATCTTCATCAGGCCAAGCTGCAGAAAAAGGAGGAACAGCAGCAAATAACAAAGCGTCTCCTTGAGGAGCAGAAAGAAGAACTGAATGAGGTCACGCAAGAGCTGGTGGAAACAGAACATGAGAATACACTGCTCAGGCGCAATATTGAGCGCATAAAGGAGGAGAAAGACCTGACTGTGTAAGAAAACTCCAGTTCTCCATTGTTACTGCAAGTAGAGACATTTACAGCACATCTACCTCCTTTATTGCTAACGTTATTTGGGGTTGCAGTTTGTACCTGGGTTGCACTGCTGCTGAAGAGCTGATGTTCTTGGATTTTTTTTGTCACTGTTTAGAAGGGGCACTTCTGATGACAGTAGCTGCAGAGAAGGGCTCTGGCATGATTATTGGAATGGAAAAAACTACCCTGAGAGCAGTTGGCTTGTGTGGCCTACTGGAGGGTCATCCTAGCTCTGCAGTTAATATTTTGAAGGTTAAGAGATGCTGTTTGAATTGGGATGATATTGGTAGAACAACAAATGAATAAACATCGAGCTGAAAACTAGAGGAGAATTTTTGGCCTTTATGAAAATCATGTTGAGAGAGGAGTGGCAACCACTGAGACCCTGAAGGTCTCCAAGTCTGATGGTTTTGCGTCTGCTTTGTATCTAAAGAATTGGAGAAGTTTGTGTCTCCAGGGGGACACTGCTGTTTATTTTCTGCTTAAGAAGATCAGTTAGAAGTTAATACTGTGTATTCCTTTTTCAGAAAACTTTGTGAATACTTCTGATATTACAAACCCTGGCTAAAAACTGTGAGCTGTATATCTTGGTGTGCTTTCCTGTTCCATGTTCAGCCATTTGGAGTCTTATTTCTGATGAGGCTTAAGTGCCCAGGAAAAGCAGAGTGTTGTGTATTGGGTTTAGCAGTGTGTGCAGGCTTTGGTGTAAGCCTGATTTGTCATCTCTAAATTCCTGTTTCATAGCTGTGGTCCTAGCAAGCTCCTGGTGTCTGCTTGCTGGCTTCTGAAAAAGTTTTACTTTCCACACTGAGTTTAAATGTTAAGTAGTGTTTGTTTAGAGCTTTTATCCTCTGATTCAAGGGTTTTTATGAGTTTTGGCCCAACCAACTGTATATCAATAGTGACTGGCACAGCTGTCAAAGCTTCTTGTTTTCTCTAATGGTTGAATTCTTATTACAGGCTACAGAAAAAATACTTGCAGCATGAGAAGGAGTGTTTGATGACCAAGCTGAGTGAGGCAGAAAGGGATGGAGCAGCAGCAGCCAGGCAAATCCATGCCCTGAAAAATACAATTGGCAGACTCAACATTGTAGGTGTTGTTGGTATTGTTCTTGCCTTTACTACATTGTCCTGTTATATGGCTGTGTTAAAATGTAATGTTGCAGTTGCTGATCCAGAAAAATATAAGGAAAAGTGGAGGGATTTAGCACACTTAAGGGGTCTGCTAGTTTTGTTTGGAAGTGGGGTATTTACTTGTAGCATCTGGTTGCTTTCTGCACACATGGCGCTGACTATTGCGCTGCTTATGCTTGTATCAGCTTCATACTTTCATTCCATGTGAACAGTTCTTTTTGTTTGGTTTTTTATTTTGTTTGATTCTCCTCTAGGAGAAACACATGAGCAGCTCAGACATTAGCATGTTGAAAAGACACAAAGAACTTCTGCTCCAGAAATTGAGCACCTTTGAAGAAACCAACCGGACACTACGAGAACTTCTCAAAGAGCAGCAGAACCGGGAGGTGAGCAGTGCTGTGTGCTTGAACTTGGCTGGTTACAGGAAGCTGTGTTGTCTCGTGGACTGAAATGGAATTTGAGTTTGAGAGCTTTTAACTCTTTTTCCCAGCCTTGCTGTTGACACTGTGTCATAAAGGATGGATAGTTGTTGGTTGGTTGGTTTGTTGGGTTTTTTTAATCCCTACCTACTTCATAGAGTAAGACTGACTTTTCTGCTGTGAGGATGTTAGAGCATCCAAGTCTTTGGCTGTATTAAAAGGTATAGACACTACTGTGTTGCCAGCTCTTTCTCATCTGGATACAGCTTCATCTGCTGATCATACTGGTCTGAACTGTTACTGCTACAGTTGCATTGTCTGGAGTCTGAGGACTAGATGTGGCCTTAGCTAATGGGAGCCTAAGGATATTCAGAATGTTATTTTTGTAGGCTATAGGAGCAGTAACAGAAATTGTAAACAATTCTGTACTGCTTGTACAGAACAATTCTATATTGTTTGTAAGAGCAATGCAGAAATGAAATTGCTGTTCTTCCTGTAGTTTATGTTCCATTTCAGCAAAAGCAGGCTGATGGTAACAGTTCTTTCAGCCACCAGTGAGACTGGGTAAAAGGACTGAGTTCTTCCACATGACTTACCCTGAGTAGCGGGAGGATTTGGAAAGATCTTAAATTGCCATCATGCTTTTTATTATAATCTTTGACTGAGAAGCTGAAAAGCTTTCTGAGATGGATGATGATATGTGAAATACTCAGCAAATTTGATGCTTCTGGGTATCTTATCTCCCTTATGAGGAAAGGCTGAGGGAGCTGGGTCTCTTTAGCTTGGAGAAGAGGAGGCTGAGGGGAGACCTCATTAATGTTTATAAATGTGTAAAGGGTGAGTGTCATGAGAATGGAGCCAGGCTCTTCTCAGTGATGCCCAACGATAGGACAAGGAGCAATGGGTGTGAGCTGGAACACAGGAGGTTCCGCTTAAACTTGAGAAAAAACTACTTTACAGTGAGGGTGACAGAGCCCTGGGACAGGCTGCCCAGGGAGGGTGTGGAGTCTCCTTCTCTGGAGACATTCAAGCCCCGCCTGGACGCCTTCCTGTGTGATCTCATTTAGGTTCCTGCTCCGGCAGGGGATTGGACTGGATGATCTTTTGAGGTCCCTTCCAATCCCCAACATTCTGTGATTCTGTGATCTTCTGAGAATTGCTATTGCAACTGTGAGGAAATGGTTGATTTTCCCAGTTCCATTTAAAAAAATCTGTGTAAAACTGACTTTTTAGTTAAAACAATTTTTCTGATGTATTTCTTTTGTAGAAGGATGCTCAGAAGATACTGGAGCGGCAAGGAGCACTGCTGAAAAGGCTGTCTGACTCCGATGCAGAGAAAGTGGTAAGTATCTAAAATGATAAGCTCTTCTTTTTCTTGTATTCAACCATCAAGTCTTACACTAATGCCTTATAGACCAATAAAAAATATTTTTGCTTTTGTGGTCATCAGCCACTGCATTACTCCTCTGGTTAACAACCTACATTTAAAATGTATACATTTGAAATATGGGGGCTTAGAATGGGGATAGCACAACTGAGACCTACATATAAGAGCACCGTTAGGATTTACAGTGTTCAGCTCTAAAGGGGAACTTCAGTCTGTTCTTACTATTTTTAAGCACAAATGATTCTGCTGACCTTTTCTTATGGTACTGAATGTACAAAGCAAGAATTGTTTCTTTAAAAAGAAAATTCTGAAGGTGGGAGAGAGAAAAAAAAATCTACTGCCAAAATATCCTTGACAGTCAGGATAGAATTCTTCAGTTTGAAAATCATCTTATTGTTTCTGTGTATTTATCATGTTATCCTTAGAGCTAGAAAAGCACAAAGAGGGGAAGCTTTCGGTATCTGCTTCTGTCACTGAATGAGTGAGTGACCTGGTGCCAGTTTTTGTTCATTTCCTTATCTGTAAGCTGAGAAAAGAGTTCTTACATTGCCAGAACTTACAAAACTTGCCACGAGACATAGGTAATGCTCTTTTTTGTCTGTGGAATATGTAGTCCTGTCAGGTCCTTGTTCCTGACTGGTTATCCTATGCTCTGTTACACAAATATACGTGGATGCCTCTTGCTTTCTGCTTGAGGAGAATGTTTTTCCAGGGCTGAGGATGCTGTTGCTGTGGATACCAGATGGAGAGTGGATCAGGGGGTCTCTGGAGGGAGGCAGTTACACCCCTTTCCCTCCACCTGCCAACCTAAATGTGTTTGTTACTTAACATCTGAGTGGTGTTTGTTTTCCCAGCAACTTCAGATGAGGCTTCAGGAGAAAGAAAAAGAAGTGGACAATCTTGCCATTCAGCTACAGGCAGAAAAGGTAGTTTCCTTTTTCTGTTTTCCCCTCCCTGCTCCACCTTCCAGTTCTGTAGAACTACAGATGGTCCAAAATATGGGTTTGTACTTGCAGACGACTACTTGTTAAGGGATCCAATGACTGGCTTGCTTATAAAACTAGAGAGACAGCTCCCTATTGCCACACAATTGTGGATTCAATTTTCTGCTAATAAACATCCATCACGAAGATGAATAGGTAGCGTTCTCTTTGGGTTTATCACTGAATTGCCTTTCTGTTTAAGGTCCTGTTTGTTCTTGATGTCAATCAAATTCCAGTCTGTTCCTCCTTAGGAAGTGAAAAAGGAATGTAGTGGAAGAGATCAGATATGAAGGTTGTTTTGCCCTAGAACAAATCTTTCAGGCCAGTTATTCATGTCTGATGTAAAATAAATGACTACTCATTTGTTGGCCATTTTGTTGGAGTAGGTGAGCGGTGAAGGTCATCTGAGGAAAGTGGAGGTGGCTGGAGATCAGTCGGTGAAGAAACCTGACACTGTTACATATTAGAAAGTGTTCCTTCTGTTAGCTTGTTGAGGAAAAAGGTGTGTTTGCTTCTTATTTAGGACCAGGCAAAGACAGCAGCTGAACTCTCCAAATCTATGGAGGCTGTGAGAGCCCATTTGCAAGCGCAGTTGCGAAACAAAGAAGCTGAGAACAACCGTCTGACTACACAGTTACGGGTATGTTTTCAGTGGTCCCTGGGGATTGTCTCTTCATTTACTCTCATGAACTGGATTGACTGACAAGGTAGCACTCACCAACTATTTTTCTGCTGTGTGTGGTAGCCTGAAATATTGGCTGGTGATGTTTATACCGCTAACACACTCCATAATTTTCAAATAAAGTAAGAAAAGAAAAAGCTTTTCACTTTTGATGCATGATGCAAAATCATAGCCTTAAGGTCTATGTGCATTTATTGGATTTTTTTTTTTTCTAAGTTAATTACTACGTAAGTATTTAAAACATGGCTTTGGTTTAGTCAAGCATCAAGACAGATCATAAACTATTGAATTTGCTTTCTGGGAAAAATGCTGTGCCAGGAGTTCCTGTGTTTGATCACACTCATGCCTGCTTTCTACAGCATTAATGAGGAGGAGAAAGTTCCCCTGGTTTATCTTGATCAAAGTCTTATGTTTAACTTGCCCATTGATGTTGTGATGAACATGTGTATGTTAATGGTTTAGAAGAGCTTTAATTCTATTAATAGCTGCATAAAGTAACATTATTCTATGCGAGCATTTAATTTAATAAAGAGAATATTCTTGGGTAGATCAAAAGACTGGTAGACCACTAGTTATCTTGGTCAGGAGAGGAAATCAGTATCCTAGAGAGCAGTTTATGAAAGAAGAAAGGAAGGCTCTTGGAAGGAAAGGAAGGCATGTCATACTGACATGTGTCTCAGCATTAGGACAAGATTATGTAGGTGAAATGTGATTGCAAGGACCTCCAGGCCGGAGGCTGGGGGTTTATGCCCAGCTCTCTTCACTGTTTCTAGGCAATTAGTTGCTGCTTTGAGTACGCAGGTATAAGGACATTATTCCATGTGGTGTGTTTTCTCCCCCGCTGCAGAATCTGGAACGCAATGAAGCTCAGCATAAGGCAGAGGTGGACCGTATCATGGAACAACTGAAAGAACTGAGGCAGAAGGCAGACCGTGATAAAGAGGCCCTGAAGAAAGCCATCCGCGCACAGAAAGAGCGGGCAGAGCGCAGTGAAGAGTACGCAGAGCGACTGGCTGTCCAGCTAGCAGAAAAGGTACCTGATAACACAGGAGGAGAGACCTAATTTCAGATCATGCATCTAAAGCTGTGATTTCTGGTGGAAGCCCTGGGGAGAGTCTCTGCTTTCAACTAATGAGATTTATTTCTGTCTTGATGCTTTGGCCCATTTATGCTAAGTTTAGAACAAATCCAGTTTTCTCAGCTATCACTATATTCTCTGCATGTCCTTAACTTAGGACATGCAGTAACTTAGATCACACTAAACTAGCAGGTCTAATTTTTCACCTGGTTCTTTAGAACGATCTGAGGGTTGATGAAAGCTGATAAAATAAAGCTTTGTGGTTTTGGCTGAAAATTCTGAGTGGAGTTAGTTGTTAATCAGGAAACTAGTCAGAGCAGAAAAGTAAAAAGACTTAGAGGTGTACTGGAATTTCCTGTTGAAAAATGGCTGAAGGTTATAAAGAAAAAGTAGAAAAGGCAGGTCTGAAACACCTCAGAAGGGAACATGGATTTTACACTACTTGATTTTTTTTTTTTCTCCCTTGTTTTTAGAGTTCCAGGGACCAGAGCCACTAGTAGAATCTTAGCCATGCTTTGCATTTCTGATAGTTCATCTGCCTTTAAAGGGGATTCTTCTTTTGCTGCTGTTATGCCTGTTGGCTGACAGTAGTGTTGGAGAACATCCCTCTCTGAAGGATCAGGAGGAATAAATACTCGTCCTCAATATTTTACAAGTCTTAGTGAAGTCTCTGCACATATCGTGCTAACCCATATCAGCATCTCTGCGTATTGTCTGCATATCCCATGTCCAGTGGTGTTTTTGTCACCCTTGCTCTTTTCCTCATGTATTTCTTTTGTTTGATAGGACAATTATGTTGCTGAGGCACTGGCTACTGTGGAGTCCTGGAGGAGTCGCTACAACAAATTAGTAAAGGACAAGAGTGACCTCGAACTGGAAATTGTTATGCTGAACAGGTTAAAATAAAATTAGTCTGGAGAAACTGAGTGGGGATGAGTTCCAAGCTGAAGGATAACTTAATTGGATTTAATGGAATAGTTCAATTAAATTGAATAATTTAATGGGATTGCCTGTAAATATCCGAGCAAAACCAGTACTGCCTAAGGGTTAGAACAGAGTTTGGAGAGGGAGAGATGTGACTTCTGCTGCTAATTTGCCACAGCAAAGACAGACATTTTAAGGGTTTGCTGAGCCTTAAAACTGTGTTCCTTTACCACTTTGTAATGCTTTGAAATAATTAAGGTTATTTTTCTTTTGATGTCTGTTTGATGAACTTGAAGGGGTTAGAAGAGATAGGTAGTATAGTTCATGCCAGTTTTGTTATGAAGGTAAATAAATGTGTTGGTATCACTGCAGTACAGTTGTTGCTGCAGGAAAAAATAGGTAGATACAAGACGAGAGAGGTACCTCTTTATCCCCTGTACCTTGGAGGCAATGCATTTGAGCTCTAGAGGGACAACTCAAATTAATTTACAGCAGGCTAAGAAGCTTGAGGTGGTAGAACAGTGTAACACATAGGTGTGCATACGTGACTGGAGGAGGAAGATGAAAGGATAGGGAAAAAACATGTTTCTGAAGCTAATTGTGAAGGGTTAGAGTCTTATTCTTTCTTGTCACTTGAACATTAATTTATTTTCTACATGGCAGCCGTGTTGCAGACTTGCTGGAACAACAGGCAACTGTGGAGGACAAGGTGCGGGAGGACAGAGAAGCTTTGGTGGATAAACTGCATCGACAGACTGCAGAGACCACTTCTTTCAAAACGGAGAATGAAAGACTGAAGGTCAGTGATTCGAGGGGTTTGGAGCTGAAGTGCTAGGGGCAGAACTGAGAAATTATAACAAGCTTGGCCTCTGAGGACAGAGCTCAATTGCAGCCATAACTCCCGTTTAGTTTCAAACCATTTTAACCATAACCTGAGTGTGATAGGGCAAATGTGCTGGGAAGATCCATAAAGAATGTGAACATTCTAGAAGGACAAAATTTCTTCTACATTTTGTTTAGGAGTTTCTCCAGTCCAAGTACTGTTTCTTCCAGCTGGGATCTTACATCTTGTCCTTACATCTTCATACTGCTGGCCACAGAACAAACAACTGTAGGCCATGCAGAGAGAATGGTAATCTCCAGAATAAAAAAAAATGTCTGGCATATTTCTCCTGTCATCTGTCTTATCACTGGTGATCTTGTAGGTGACCTACATAATTTTCGTCTTGGAAAGCTAGGCATTAATCCAAATAAGGAATGGCCCTAATCCAAGTAGCACAGCTCATTCAGGCAAATGGAAAGATTGCACATCCATCACAAACCTCTGTGCTCTGCTGATATAAATTTGGCAGTCCGCTGAAGCCTGGAAAGTTTTGCCAACTTACACTGTCAGAAGTCTTTTTTCTTAGTCTAGACAGCCAGGGTGGCAATAACTTCTGAGCACTCAAGGGAAGGTGTTTTCTTTTTTTCAGGCTAGTGTGGTCCCAATGGAGGAAAAGCTGAACCAAGCACAAATGGAAGTGCAGCAGCTCAAGAGCTCTGCCAGGAACTATGAAGGGTTGATTGAATCCTACAAGTCACAGGTAGGTATCATATCAAAACCTTCTGCACCTGCTCAAATATGTTTTTTCCCTTCACTCTTGTGGCTTACTCTGTAACACCTTAACCATTTGCTTTTCGAGGATGTCACAGTTTCATATGAGTTTGGTTCTTTTGTCTCTATCTGCCTTTTTCTCAAATGGCAGCATCCAGACTGCCATGTGCTATATGCTGAAGTGTGGAAGACTTGCCTTCCCCACCATGTGCAGATAACTTTGTCATTAGGAAGAGCTGACTCGCACAGCAGAGATCTTGGTTGGATGGAAAACAAAAGACTGGGTTTAATTATTTCATTTTTCCCTGCTTCTTTTCAAAAGGAAAATAGTGAGATGCTTTTTTCTGCCTTTTAGTGTGGCAAGTACTGTTCCTTGGCTGCTTTTTGGGGGGAAATTTTGATATAGTCATAGTAGGAAAATAAGGCAGAAGGGGAGAATGTTTAGTGGAAAGCCCGTGATCCAGGTGGCAGAAGCAGAAAGTGAACTTCCAAATGCAGTTCTGGGCTGATGGTTAGTGTGACAAGAAACTTGTTGCTGTACTTTGAGCAGTTTTAGTTACTCCAAAGCATTGCACATGTGTTGAAAACTATATATAGCAGATTAATTAGGTGGAGGTTTTTTGTATATCCAGGTGTTGAAGATCCGAATGGAAGCAGATGAAGTGACAGCAAAACTGGAGGAGTGTGATAAAGAGAACAAGACACTAAAGGATGAAATGAACAAGGAGATTGAACTGGTAACTCTTCCTCTAAAGATTGATATGTTGTAGATATTAATGGATCTTTGTGTTCTGAATTTAGAGAATAATGGCTGTGAATAAGCAAACAAAAGGCTTATCCGAGTTTGTCTTTTCCATTAGTTTTTCTCAGGACTTGTTAATTTTGCAAAATTTATTGAACATTTAGTGGCTCCTTTTTGACTGTATGT